ACTCTGCTTCCTGACCGTGGATGCGATGTGACCTGCGGCCTCATGCTCCTCCGCTGTGCCTTTCCCACCTTCCAATTCTGGGCCCAAATAAACCCTCTTTTCTTAAGTTGCTTCTACAGTGACAAGAACCATATGAACCAAATGAACCCAGTCTAGAAACTCCCTTCCAGACATACCAAAAGGTTTGTCTCCGAGGTCATTCCAGATCCTGTCAAGCAGACAATTTATATTAACCATCACAGGAAGTTATTAGCATGCAGCTACATTAAAATCCAAGAGGAAATATGACGTATATTAGGGAGAGAGTACAGTTTGGAACTTGTCAATTTTGGATTTATTACTGTGTCTTGCCTCAATTAATTTTATTACCTCAATAAAATTTTAATATATACTTTTCCTATGTCAGAAACTGTTTTGGACTCTCAGGGCTCTCAAAGATGTCTCTTTTTTCCCAAGAGGCTTACAGACAAAAAGAAAGCAAATTACTTTTACATGCTTTAAAAACAAAAAAACAAAAAAAAAAACAACACATCCTAAAGTTAATTCATTATTCTTGCTTCCTTTCTGTTGCTGTGATAAACACCCCCATCAAAAGCAACTTTGGGAGCAGAGGTTTATTTTCACTCACAGCTCCAGAGTACAGTCCGTTATTGAAGGAAGTCAAGATAAGAACTCAAGGCAGGGACTTGAAGGCAGGGCTGTCTGTCTGCCTTTCCATACCACATTGCCTTCAACCATGGGATTCATTTCATAGCCCGGGAGTACAGCAGGCATGGAGAATGCATTTGTTGTTTCCTTACTAGCTGGCAGGCAGGCTTATACTCAGCCAGCCTTTGTTTACAGTTCAGGAGCATCTGCCTAGGGATTGTCCCGCCCACAGTGGCCTGGGCCCTCCTGTATCAATTAAACAAGGAAGACGCTCCCCGACAGACACACACCCACTGGCCAACCTGACATAGGCAATTCCTCACTTCAGTTTCTCCTCCCAGATGTGTCTTAGGCTGTGTGAAGCTGACAGTGTGAAGCAACTGTCATTTACATAGACTTGTTACAATGTATCTGAATTATTGCGACAGCTTCCCAGCAGGTTCACTTTTTAGAGAATCTAAGTGACGTACTGTAAGCAATGCGCCTGCCTGTGTATGAGGGTATGCACATTTTCATTTGGAGATTTAGTAAGAAAAGTCCAAGTTTGAAATATAGTTAAATAATAATCTTGGTAGTAAGCTGGTCATTAAAATTAATGGAATGCATTATGGAACGTTAAATTAAGCTTAATATTTTGAGGAAAAAGAGCTGAGAATTACTTGTCATGTGACTCCAGTTTAGATTAAGGCTGAAGAATTTTTCCTGGAGTTAATTTCTACCTGTGATTTCACTTGGGAGTCCCAAGGATGCTCAACGTTCTTGTGGTCCAAACTAAGTCCTTCATCTCATCCACCTCCAGGTTCTTCCCCGGAACCACATTTTCCTGGATTCTTTTTGTAATGAGTGACACTGTTACTCCTCTAGCTTACGCAAGAACTCAAGGTGCTGTTCTGGAGAATTTTGTCACCTTCGCTTTACTTTTTATTAACGACACTTAGTGACTTCCCTTTTTGGATCTGTTCTGTCTCCTTTGTGCAGGGTCATTAGCATCTCACCTCTGTTCTCAGGCCCTGCTTCTTAAAATCCCATCCCTGTAGCTGGAGTGAGAGAGTCTCCTAAGCTGAACTGTCCAGTTCCTTATTCAGATGAAGACCTGCGGACTCTTCCAGTGTTCCAATCCCAATGATGTCCTGCAGTTGAATCTGTTTTAAGAGTCCTAGGCTGAGCTGACATACACAAGACTCTTTATTCAGGAATTCACAGAGCCTACAGTATGTAAATGTGTGCGTGCAGAGCATTGGGGTGTGGGGGGTGGTAATTTAAGATTTTCTTTCTTTCTTTCTTTTTTTTTTTCCTGGTTTTTCGAGACAGGGTTTCTCTGTGTAGCTTTGTGCCTTTCCTGGAACTCACTTGGTAGTCCAGGCTGGCCTTGAACTCACAGAGATCCGCCTGCCTCTGCCTCCCGAGTGCTGGGATTAAAGGCGTGCGCCACCACTGCCCGGCAATTTAAGATATTTCTAAACACAAGTCACAGATGAAGCTATTATTTTGAGGAATGCTAAGGAACAGCTCATGACATATCTCTATAAAGTACTTCTTAAAGACCTAGTTTGTGAAATTTGATCTGCAGAGAGGAATCGGTTGCTCACGCCATGACCTATCAGGCCTTCTATGACCCGGTCCTCACCTTCCTTAGAAACCTCAAATGACCTTTTCCCATGGTGAACTTCATGTTTCAAAACAGAAAGCCACATCCTGTTCCTTCGTGCAGTGCGCCCCTCCTCCTGATTCTTCGCGAGCTGTTTCCTCTCTAATACTTCTCTCCATCTGGGTAGCTCTGCTCATTACTCAACTCAGGCTCAAGGACCTAGAATTCCCTGTTGAGCTAAATGCACGTCTTCTGAGGTCCAGCTCCAAGGGCACAAAAATGACCATAATCTGTGTACGTGCCTTTTCACCTTATTTTACCCGCGGGGGGTGGGGGGGGGGGAAGCGGGCGGGGAAAGAGACCACGCCAACGGGGTCGGCGGGAGACCGAACGCTTATTTTACCCGCGGGGGGGGGGGGGGGGGGAAGCCCAAGCAACCCTGTGTGGTGGTGGTGGTAGTCGTGGTACTGATGGTAGCGGTGATTGCTAAGGTACTGTGGAGGAAGCAGGTGGGGCGGAGGGAGGCCGAGGGACCTGGAGGATGAGGGACACTTGGTAAGTGCTCACTGGTCTAAACGCAGTGGAGGTTCCCTGCAGTTTCCCAGAACCTCTAGCATTAAGGAAGTTGAGCATGATGTAGCAAAGAGAATCGTTGGTTGGTAAGTTTTACTTCCGGCACAACTGGGCATGTAGGAACTGGAAGTGCTGAGGGATGACGGGATCCTTTACCAAGTCAGCAAGCTTGTTCTCATTGAGGTGTGCCCCAGGGGTGGGCAACCCTTGCTGTACATCCATGTTAGCCTCTGCCGAACACAAACAAACTGGTGTTTCATGGGGACTCTCTGTCTTGCCACCTATCTTTTCATTCAAAGCCCAGTGGGACTCTCTTGTTGGAAATGAACGTGAGACGTTTTCTACCTAAAAGATACTTTCATATACAAAAGGGTATATAGGTTCGTGAGTGACATTAGCAGTCACATCAGTAAAATGTCGTGTGAGCTGAGTGCTGGTCTCTAGGCCTACAGAGGCTGATTTTCAGAGTTACCGATGAGTTCATGATCATTTCTGTACTTTAAAATATGGCTAGGCGGCTCGGGAATAATTGAAGTGTCTTCAAGTAGGTCTCTAAATTGGTATTTTTAATTAAAAAAAAAGTTCAAATATATTATTTCTGTTATGGTCTGTGAAGATATCAGAAAAAGTCATCATGACCTGATTATACTTTTGAATTATAAATGAGGGATGTGGGGTCATGATCTCCAGAAGCCTTTTCTCTGCTTCTTAATTAAAATTCTCTGATGAAAGAAAACACTGAAAACAGAGTATGGGCTTATAAATGGTATTATAAATGATAAAAAAAAATGGTAACTTCCATGGCATGTCCTAAAGGAATTTGTTCTAGAGTCTATTTTTATTAGATCAAATAATCCATTGTTTAGAATAAAGACCTGTATAGCTTTCTATTCCAAACCAAACAAACAATGGAAATTCTTGCAAGTGCGTGGATGCTTGCTGATTGTTTAAGGATGAGCAGCTGGGTCACGTGGAATCAATTATTTCATCCCCCGCCTTACAACTCTTTCAACTTAAAGGGGAATGTTCACTGGTTCCTACTTTTCTCTCTCACATACATGCAAGACATAGCCTGGGACTGTCCTTCCTTCTCGTGGGGGCCACATGCTTTCTTCACTTTGACCTGAGATGGTTCCAGACGTCACCCAAGTGGGCAAACCCAGTTATCTCCTCTTTCACTTCCTCTATTGTTGGGCTGATCTGCGAGCACTTGTTTGAACTACATCTTTAGGAAAAAACGCCCGCAGAAGTGAGCTTTCTTCATCCTTGAGCGTCTACTGTGTGAAGGATGGACATGGGCAAGAGAAAAACATTTTGATTTTTTTTTTTTTTTTTTTTTTTAAGCTCACTATGATAAAACCTTAAAGCCGAACTTGGAACGCTCGCCGAAAACGGGTTACATAACATCCACCAACTCACAGTATTTTCCGTTTAGTAGTAAACTACAGACGCCCCCAAAGGGAGTGCTCCAAGCTCCGGCAGGAAATCTGGGTGAGGTTTACAAGGCAACCGTTCCTTTTTCACTCCTCTCCAGAGTATTTTTAGGCCCCGGGTCTCTGAACCCAAGGTGATCTGCTCTGTTGTTTCCTCCGAAGGCAGTGGTCTGGCTCCTTGCCCTCCCTGCCTTGTGGGCATAGGTCCACGCAGCGGAGCAATTCTGCTCTCGGTTGAAGCTGTGCGAAGGAGCCGTCTAGTTCTGGATCCAGCTCTTGTAAGTATCTGGTTGGAAGAGGTTCTCCTCATTAGCGGGTGGACATCCCATCTGCTGACCACACTGGGTCCTCTCGTTGACCTTGGCTGTGGAAGAGAAGCGGCTTACGGAGGTTCCGCTTCCCCGCGAGTGCGTGGGTCTGACGTCCTCCTATGTGGAGCACGTGGAGCTTGGGAGGGGCGGAAGTGTGGGGCTTAGGTGAGCCGCCGCTGCCCGTTCCTGGCCCTTTGCTGACCTTTGCGATACCAAATGAGGAAGCTGAGCTAACAGGGTTCCGGTCTCTCCTAGAGCAAAGTATGACTTTGCAACAGCTTTCCGGCCAACGGACAAATGCCAAGTTCTGCTTTGGAGTGTTTAAAGGGGCTTTTTTATTTCCTGATGCAAGGGGCTGGGAGGTGTTGGCACTGTTCTCTCCACCCCCTTTAGTCCTGGACATGGCTATGCCATCTGCAGCTATGGTACTCATCCTGCACCTTTGAGACAACAGAGTCATCTGAAAATGGTAGCACACACAAACTGTGTGTGGTGGCTTATGCCTGTCATCCCGGTACTTACAAGACTGGGGCAGGAGGATCCCAAGTTCTAGGTCCAGCTGGGCTACATAAGGAGACACTTGTCTTAAAACCAGACAAAATAAAAACCCTCAAAGCAAACAACAGATAATTACAGAAGACCACTCTCTTCATATTATGGGGTCCCACACGCTCCAGGACCACTTTCCCCTTTGGTAGCTTTATTGCATTGCCACAAATAATCTGGTTCTCTCTTGTCAGAAGTGTCTTCTCTGGAACATAGGCCAGCTTTCCTGGCTTTCACTCAGCAAATAGAACCCCGTGGAAGCAACAGCCAATGAGTCCAGCGCTGGGTCTTCCCAGGTGATACAGTCTGCCTCATTCTTTTCTGTGACATGTGTCCTGGGATCCTTGATCTGACATGCTAGAAGTTAGACTACGTGGAAGCTGGAGGCTGGAGAAATGGGGGTCATGAGAGGTAGAGGGGTGATAGAGGAGCCCCGGCCATACCAGTATCCACCCCTCTGAGGCTTCCCAGTGAGAACTGCCGAATGGGCATGTGCTAGCCTGCAGAGGATGCCAATGCCGGTCTTCAGAGTGCCCCCACCAATGTGAAGGGAAACAGAAACGCTGCCTTCCTCTAAGCTCATCCCAAACTGCAGACCCATGGACAGAATAAATGTTATTTCAAGCCGTCAAGTTTCAGCGGTTGTTTGTTGTACAATAAAAGACCTGGACCCCCGACTTTTTAATGCCACAGTTCATTGGATGTTTTTGTTACTTGCGGTCCGAAGCATCCCTACCTGGACTATTTAGCAGAGATGAAAAGAAATAACTTCACTGGCCCATTTGAGTCCTGTGTGCTGATTGTCTATCCTGTCCCCCTCATCCTGGATGAAGGGACCGGTATTCGGCATAAGACACCCCAAGACCAAGTTCTCAGCACAAAGGAGATTTATTTGCCCCAGAGGGACAGAGGGTGGGGAATAAGAGGCAAAGCCAGGAGACAGAGCACAAGAGAGGGAGGAAGGATCTTTGTCCCAGAGGGGTACAAAGGACTGCCTCTGAATAGAGAGGAGACAGATGTGGCCCACAGGTAAGTAGTGGTTTATAAAGGTAAAAGGGGAAACCCCTTGTTAGGATGAGGTGTTTATTTTGATTGGACAGGTTAATTAGGGTATCCACAAGGGGGGCTTTTGATTGCTAGACTTCAATACTTTTAGCTGGACCTTGGAAGTCAGGCTCAGGGGGAGGAAGGGGTCAGATAGGGAGCAGACCCTGGTGGCTAGCTTTAGGGATGTCATCTAATGTTTTTAGGAAGGAAGAAAAAATGGGCAGAAGGGCAAGGTCTGCCAGAGCCATGTTTGCCATGCTCGGGCCAGCTAGGATCCCTTCACCAGTTATGTGAATCAGCTTTGCCATAGGACCGATATTCCAATTCCCCACCGAAGATGACACTAATTCAGTTACATAAACGTTTTATTTATAATAGGTCTGGGCTGCCAAGGATGTGGTGATCTTTAATCTCAGCACTCGGGAGGCAGAGGCAAGCAGATCTCTGATTTCAAAGCCAGCTTGGTCTACCTAGTGAGTTCCAGGCTAGCCAGGAACAGCGTGATGAGATCTGTCCAGATATAAAATAAAATAAAAGTAAAAATCAAGGCAAGAATTCATGAGCACCGTACTCTTTCTGACTGACCCCTTTGGTATTTTAGTAACAACAAGCTGTAATCATTACCCATAGGCAAAGTTTGGGAGTCGGCTTCTTCCGATTCACCTCAGCGTTTGAAGCCATTTCCTTTGCAAAGCCCTCCTGGCATTTGAAGGCTTTGTTCTTTCCTTGACATTTTCGGCTTTTTAAATAGATGAATATTTAATGTCGTGTTCCATAGGCCAGATTCTTTGAAGCCAAATATCATGAGTCAGTTCTCCCTTTTTAAAGAACCAATGGCCACCAGTAGGATTTATCTGAGGCCTTTGCATGTGATTTTAATAATGAAGTTTGTTGATGAGCCTAGCATTCATACACTACCAAGTCTGTTTTCGATGAAATAATAATGCCATCCTTACATGGGAGCTGCAGTATACATGAGCAATTCTTTCAAATAACATAAAGCTGCCTAGTGACGGAAATCCATGAAACAGCTGTGCAATACAGTGTGGGCAATTCTCCCCTTGTGTTGAAGTTTTAAGAATGAACAGAGCTGTGACTCCCAAGAGATAGTCCCACAAAGGGCAACTGTATTTTAGGGTGTCTATTCACTCCATGTCCACATCCTCAAATCTACACAGGGGTGGAGTAAAGTCAGTGTCTGATGATCTGGAAAGGGATGAGGATGGGGGGTGGGGGTGGAGGTCAGGTTGGGACAGAGAGGGCTCTTGCAAAGAGATGTTCCACAAATGCGATCACATGCAGAAGCCTTTGGGATTGAAAAGCAGCTGGGCAGGGAGCGTCAACCTCACTTGGATCTGACTGTCTTTAAGATCACACTTATGCTAGTCGGTGGTGGCGCACGCCTTTAATCCCAGCACTCAGGAGGTAGAGGCAGGAGGATCTCTGTGAGTTCAAGGCCAGCCTGGGCTACAGAGCGAGATCCAGGACAGGCACCAAAACTACACAGAGAAACCCTGTCTTGAAAAACAAAACAAAACAAAACACAAAACAAACAAACAAAAAAATCACACTTACATTCCTGGGTGGGCTGGGAAATCTGTTTGAGTGCACTAATTTTTAAGAGAAACCCTGCATGGTAATTTAAAAAGCCTGAGAATGTCTTTTTTTTTTTTTTTTGGTCATAAGCAAGAAGGTGCCATATGCAAAAGCTGAGCTCATGTCTCACTGAGCTGCCAAAGCAGGGCAGCTGTTCCTTGCTGGGCCTCAAATGAGGTTGCTTCCAGCAGGATTTCCTTCAATGATCAGGAAACACAAAGACACAGGAGAGACACTTGCTTTTCCACCGCAGCCGCGAGAGCTGATGAAAACAAGCGCTCATTTCTCAGCCCGTCCTTCTAGCCACCCATCTCTTTTCAGGAAACGGAATTACGGCGGCACGAGACAGCGCTCCGGTATCAATGCTACCTGATACTTTTATCTCTGTAACCCGTGGAAATAAGCTGTCCCTGCACCTCCATCTCGCTGTCAGAGACTCCTTGGGATTGGTGTCCTGCTTTGATTCGGCACCAAGTCCCCTTTCAGCTCCTGGGGAGGGGGAATTATCTCCGGCAGTCACGGAGTGTTGTAGTGGTGGTGGAGGAAGGGATGAGCGTTAACTAAGTTCAGAAACAACAGATACATGTGCCTAGGACGACTCTATTCCCGAGCCTCCGTATCGGTCCAATATCACTTGAGGACATCATGGGCTCTGGATCTGACTTGGGGACATTCTTTGAATTAGAGCTCTTATCCTTAGTCTGAGCCTTCCTGATGCACGCTCTCCCCTCTTTTCCCTCTCTCCCCCTCCTTCCCCTCGTTCTTTCCTCTCCATTTCTCCTCTCTTCTTCTTCCTTCTCCTCTCTCTCCTTCTCCTCTCTCTCTCTCTCTCTCTCTCTCTCTCTCTCTCTCTCTCTCTCTCTCTCTCTCTCTCTCTCCCCCTCCCTCCTCCCTCCCTTTCTCCCTCCCTCCCTCTCAGCTGATGCACATACAGGAGGAGTTCAGAGAGCCATCTAATTTTATTCCTAAAACATGTAAGTTTAGGGTTCCCTTTTAGGCATGAAAATTCCTTTTCACACTCACAGTCGGAAGCCTTAGAAAAAGGTCCACCCATTCTAGCTACTTGAACATCACTGGACCCTTCATCTTGCATTAATCTCAAAACGAATGCAACTGTGATTCCCACCCGAAAGCCAAGGCCGAAAGCACTACCCTCAACTTTAGCAAGCCTTCTCCACACACAGCAAGGGCTGTATCGGCATGTGCGCACTGTTGAGCTCTCCCATTTCTCTGTCCACGAGTTTCCTCTTCCTGTTCACAGGGCCCGTTCTTACACCCATTCCCGCTATCTTCTGAGTTTCCGGGAACTCCAGGCCTCTGCTGAGCATGGGCTCTCATTGAGGATGCTATTTTCCCTTTGTCCTCACAAAAGCCAGCTTCCCCTAATCACTTTTCACAGACCCAGGTGGTAAGGGACACAGTAAAGATGGGGGTGGCAAACGTTTTCTGTAACCATCTTAACCGCGGGTTATGGATGTAACCAACTGTTTTATTAAATAAGAAACACAGAAATAATGCAAAAGAGAAAGCCGAGAGGTCAGAGCTCAGAGCCAA